ATCTCTTGTATTTCTTGATTTGATCCATGATAGGTTGAATCCGAATCTTCAGGAGATTGAGCGTCTGGTAGTCTTTCTTCTTCTGGGCCTTGAGCTGTTCCTTGCTTGGCGGGGTGGCAGCCTTAGGCGGCGGTGGAGGCGCGATCTCCAACGTTTCAAGCTCTCGGCGCTTGCGGTTCTCGGGATCGGGAAAGTGGGCTGGAGACGTCTTGATGTAGTCGATTACCTTGGTAAAATACTCATAACGTGCATCATTGCCTGGCGCCTTGAGGTCAAAGAAATTCTTCTTGGAGTACCCGAACAGGTTTCTCATCAGTCCATTGTCCAATTCCTCGCTATTCGACTCTTGAACGCCCAATAGCAACACCGGATCTGTGGGAGGAACCGATCGAAGTAGCCCCAAGAAAGTGGCAATCACAGCCTGCCCCACGGTTTCAGACCAAGTGTGAATGTTGGGAATATAGATCACGCTGGGCTTATGCCTCTTCACTTCAGCAAAAAGCTGTATGATGGCAGCCTCAGGGGATCGAGTGGAATCGCTGAGAAGGGTTGGAAGGTCAAATGCCTGGACGTGCAGACCTTCGAAGTGGTGCAGAAGGGCTCCCGCCATATACTGCTGGCCCATACCGAGCGGACCGCGAATTAGCAGTCTAGGCCTGAAGACTCGCGACCTGTCGAACTCTTGCTGCATTTGTTCGCGCTGGAAGCCACCCCCAACGGGCTCCTCAAATTGTGCCTCTTCCAATGCAGTGAGCCGCTTTCTCTGCGGTAGGATTTCAGACACCAGGCTCTCGATTTCAGCAAGCGGTGCACGCAGTAAAGGCTCAACCGACTTGGGCAATGGCGATGCGCCGGAGGACGTCGATCGCTCTGATGAGGGAACCATCTTCTTGATTGCTAACATGAAATCTTTCGGTGTGACATCGATAGTTTTCGGGTCGATGACAAGTTTCTGATTAGACTGGTAGATTTGGGGGTACCGTCTCTGCACCGCATTTAAGGCGGCTTCCGTACAAAGAGCTCGTAAATCGGCTCCTCCATAGCCCTTGGTAATCTCTGCAAGCTCGTCCTTGATGTCATCTGGAAGCGGCGGTTCCCAACCTTTTGTGTGAATATCCAGAATGGAACGTCGCCCGTTTTTGTTGGGCAGAGGGAAGTAAAATTCGCGATCAAATCGACCAGGCCGGCGAAGCGCAGGGTCAATCGAGTCCGGTCGATTTGTAGCTCCGATGACAATCACTTGACCACGACCATCCATTCCATCCATTAACGCCAACAGAGTGGAGACAATTGAGGCATGGATTTGTTCCTGTTTGCTTGACCGAACAGGTGCCAGACCTAGGTAAGAGGTTGGTCAAATCATGAAGCTATACGGCTGCGTCGGAAGGAAAAGCAATCTGACTTACCATCAATCTCATCGAAGAAGATTATACTGGGTTGTGTCTTGCGAGCCTCCTCAAAGAGAAGCCGAAGCTGACGTTCTGCTTCACCCACCCATTTACTCAAGGCATCGGCTCCCTTTCTCATGTAGAAAGTGACCTTGCGACCATTCGAGCTGACACTGTTAGCGAGAGCTCTTGCTAACAGGGTTTTTCCTGTGCCGGGAGGTCCATGGAAAAGGACACCTCGAGGGGGCACGATGTGGAAACGCTGAAATATCTCCGGGTACAGCAGTGGCAGAGAGACCATCTCTTTCAACTGGTCGATGTGTCCTTGTAAACCTCCCACACTATCGAAGTTGACGTTCACATCCACACCCAGTGGATCCGCATCTGCCAGGGCCTGTTTATCTTTGACTTTTCCGAGATTCGCAGGGGTGCCCGAGAGGCCCTGCGCGGCGTCATTGCCATGAGTTTGACCGACAAGGCCAGCTCCAGGGAGTCCAGGTGCCGAAAACGACCCACTGGCCCCGGTCTTAGGATGCTGCATGACTTCATCATCACTGCTATCGCTGTCCGCACCCCCCGCTGCAGCGGGTGCTCCCGGAGGACCTAAGATCGCAGATGGCCCGCCACCTCCGAAAGGCCCGTAAGTGGGAAACAGAGTACGTTGCCAACTGCTACCACCCCCTCCGCGGCCCCGACGCGAAGGCGATTCATTGATTTCATTTTCAGCTTCTTCGATGGGCAGAATGAGATCCGGGCGAATGATACGGTAGTCCACATCTTTCCGGCTGCGTCGAGGTTTCTCGTAGACAATCTCAGGTTGTACTCGACGGCGAGACCGACTTCCTCGCAGGTCTTCCAATTCTTCGGCTAGCTCCTCGGCGATATCAGCTCCTCCGTCCGACTGACCACGTGATCGAGACGCCCTTTTGCGCAAGCCAGGACGACGACCGGTAGCACTGTAGTCGTCATCCTCATCATCGCGAGCTTGGCTAGCTTTGCGCGGAGAAGCGTTCGACTTGCCAGAGTGAGAGACCTCATCATCGTCGTTTGAATCTTCTTCAGGCTCGAAGTCGCTTTCCTCCTCCCGACGTTTGCGTTGAAAGTTGTTGGGTTTCTTGCGACTAGATCGTCGTTGTTCCTCCTCTTGGTCTTCCTGGGGCTGGTCGGCTTCATCTTCCGCTGGCTGACCCCGATTTGGCCTCAATCTCCTTCTGGTGATTGGCCCTTCCTCGTCGTCTTCGTCATTTCCATCCTCCGCAACGCCAGCCTTTGCATCGCCATTCTCGGATTCAGGAACAAAGCCTTCATCCTCACCTTCTCCATCGTCATCATTCTGGGTGGGATTTGGTACAGCTCCCTCGAAACTGACTTGAACATCGCTCTCCAAGATCTCAAGCTGCGAGCCTTTGATTTCGGTGGTCGTCTCGTCAATGACCTCCTCTTCCTCCTGCTTCGTCTGAAATTCACCTTCTTCTTCTTCCTCGTCAAGCACAGGTATGCGTTTCGATGCCCTGGAACCCCGTCGAAGCCTACTTTCCATCTCCGGACTCTGTGTTCCTCGCTCGACAGTCTCCATGTGACGACCTGAGTTGGTAAGGGCATAGATATCCTCCGACGGATCTCGCGTACGTCTCGTCACTCGGCGAGTCCCTTGGAAATTGTCCAGTGGCGCCTGCGCTTGTCGTTTGAGTGCGTTACCGACCTTCAGCTTGACAACCGTACTTTTGCGCTTCTTCGGGGATGTTCGTACATCAGCTTCATCGTCGTTTGGGGTGTCATCTTCGATACTGCTGGTATCGCCTTCGTTATAGACCGGTCGGTTGGTGGCAGCTCGTCTAGCAACAAGGCCTCTGGCATTCCGTTGGGCATTGTCGTCATCCTCTTCCTCCGACTCTTCAAAAGAAACCTCGTCCTCACTAAAGATATCGTCGTCATCAGAGATGATGTCATCGTCCGAACCGCGACGGGCTCGTTTCTTTGCAGGCTTGGATTTCTTCTTCGACTTCGACCGGGAGACGGAGCGTCGAGCCGACCGCACCGGATGATCACTGTAGTCGTCATCATCCGAGTCCGACTTGTTGGCCATCTCCTCGATGGAGCGTTTGGCACGAGGCATGGTGATATGTTCGGTGGTGTTTCTTGTTCACGGGGTTGATGTGTCAGTGCGCCCGATGCTTTAGCGGAGAGATAGTGAAATGGTCGCGTTGAAGGTAACACTCACTCGGCACAGAATGGCTGTCTGACGCGTTTCAGTTAAGCCAATTGATTCAATGGGTTGTGCAGCGGACAATAAACCCAGACAAAGCACCTCAAATTCAATGAGAAGGGAAAGACTGCGGGCTCGAGGAACAGCACCAACCAGCAATTGTCCTTGCGCTCAACAAGCAGCAAGCATTGACTATTAGCCGCTGCTACGTCAAGAGAATATCGGTAGAGCCCCGTTTTGCGCCCGCGAGAACCGAGGCAGGTCGTATATATAACGCGCGGTGTAAAGGTGACAGCAACGCGCGAGGTGTACCAGTCCTAGGAGAAAAAAGAATGGAGCAAGAAGTAATGCGAGACGCCAGAGAGGGTCAAAACGCGTCGCATGCAGTCGCTAGGCGGAGCTGGAAGAGGTTGAAAGAACCCAGAGGTTGATGGAGAGGGAAATAAAACAGAATCAAAGGAATGGAAGAACTGAGACGAAAAGATTCCCTCCGCAAGCGAGACCTTTCAGTAAAAAGAGGAAACAAGGCAAGTTACTCCGTACCAGGGACGATACCGATCGACAGCATGACGAGAGATAACAGCAGGAGGAAAGAAAAATCAATGAGGAGTGCCGGGTTAAAGTGACCGGGGGGGGGGGGGGGGTATATGGGTGTGGGCGGATAGACAAGACAGACAAGACAGACAGACAGACGGGCGAAGATCGAAGGGCGCGGCGGCGGCAGCAAGCATAGCAAGGCAAGACTTGCCTAGCCGTACCCAGCCACAGCTGTTCAGCTACCCGCGCCACAGTTAGGCGCCATCACTAGTCCCTATTCAGATCTAGTCTCTGACCAGAGCCGTTTGGGCACGTGCCATCCTCCCGGTCCGCGGTGTGCCAGAGGCACAGTCACGGTCTGGCGGACCCCAAAAGCGAGCTTTGCAAACCCACCCCTCAAAAATCAACAACAATGCCGCCTTTTGGCTTCTTCAGACTGCCATTTCCCCCCCCCTGCCAACCCACCCAATTCACCCCAAAAAAGCTTGCATGATCTCGTAGACACCGCAGTTTAAATGATGCAGATGGTTTGAGTGTGTTTTCGACGGGTTTTGGCCGAATTTTTCGAGACCTCTGGCCGGCCCCTTCGGACACGTAGAGATGAGGAACTGAGAAAAAGAGAAGAGAGCTCACCGATCAGGAACCAGCTTTTGCTTTCCTCCCAGGCCCGCAAAGCTTATCGCTTTTTGACTCTTCCCCGCCTGTTCGCCCTCGCCTAATTGCCGCCGGGTCCGTCCCCTGCGCCTGATTCGGTCCCCGTTGCCGCCCTTCGCTTGATATCATGTGACTGCTGAGTCAGTCCGGTTGCTGGGGGAGATTTCGGTGGACAGGACTTGAACTAGCCCCATTCGGAACATCATCCTCATTTCCTGCGCTGTTCGAGTTGTATCCAACCCTTATCTTGCAAGTTACATTCAATTAGAAGTTGTCTCTTTCAAATCCGATCACCCTTCCCTGAACCACCTGTAAACATGTCCATCAAGTCTCTCTTATCCAGCGCTCTTCCCGGCGCAGTACGAGGCCCTACCATCGCCTCCGTCACCCAAAGAGCCTTTACCACTAGCCGCACCAGATTGAATGCACCAAATGACGCATCGTCTAGTGCCTACAGAGACGGCGTAAGCGACCACTAGAGGCTAACCATCTTCCTCTCTTCATCCACGTCTTCTCCCTGGCGTTGCTTACGGAATTGTAGATGGCCCGGTACAAACTCTTCATCAGCCCTTTTGCCAAAGTCTTCCTTGGCGCCGTCTTCACCTTCCAGGTTCTCCATTGGACGTGGTTGAAGCTTGAGATGGACGAATCGAAGTATGAGAAGAATCGTGAGTTCAAACCCCGGCTCCGTCGTGACACTTCTGTATCGCTTTTATTTCTGTATGGCCGACCTTGATCTTCTGACTAGCAGTAGAGGAAGTCGCTGCTCTGGAGGAAAAGGCTCGGGAATTGACAGGCACGCAGAAAAAGTTGTAAATGCTCGCATGCTTGAGTATTCGGGTCATGACTGGGTCTCATGACTGGTTCTACTGGAATAGTCCATGGCGTCGTGTTCCTTGCTATCGATTGTACTCTATCCACCTGCATCCGCCGTTGTATATACCCCATGCATCAATGTCGCTTCCTACATGGAAATGGTTGAAGAAAAAAATGTGTCTAGTACTCGTATCTCTGCATTCCTTGATTGAACAGGGATAATTGAGGTCAAAAAGTACACGTTCATCGTATAAAATGCGGCACGTAATTTGGAAAACAGAAGAAAGACCCGCAGACACTTATACATCACATCACATAGCACATAACTCGCCTGGTACCGGGGTAAATATTCATATGAGTTCAACTTCAGTTGGCGCATAGCATTTCAATCTGCTCACATGCTTATCGCACAGAGCTTTCGAACGTCAACACTGCATATTTTCACTTCCTGGATCAAACGTCGCAGTGACTGACTTTGCAACCAAGCATCCAGCTTGTCAAAGGGTATGCTGTGGTTGACTCTGTGAATCGATGCTATAGCTACCCGAATATCTATCGATATATGGTGGCTCCGGGGGTCGCACATTCGGCTACGAGAGCCTCACCCGGGCTGAAATTTGGGGCGGGATGGAGGACCGAGTATTTCCTCTTCCTCGTGTTTCTGAAACGGTACGAAAGGCGTGATTGTGGGGACGTGGACGGAAGGGGACCCCTCGACTGGGTTGTTGGTCGTTTTCGGGCAGGTTCATCATCATCATCCAGCAGCATCTGATCGTGGTGGGAGAATAAGTCTTCGCCCTCCTCCGATCTTGCATGGCTATGTGCACAATCGCCTCCACTGTGCTCGTCTGTAGTCGGCTCGCTTTCGCACCCAACATCAACCGACATGGACTCATTTCCTCCGTGTAGTCCCCGGTTTCCAGTTAGCTGATCAGATGGAGGCACCCAGTCTTCAATACGCTCGCCTTTCTTGTAATGTTCCGTATCAATGTGGTCGAAGCGCTCATTCCATGCCTCGAGTTCATGGCCCAAAAGAAGGTCTTTCCGACAGAAGCCACACCAGAATGACGCCCGCCCGTCCCGGGAGATGCGACTATCAGAAAGAGCCGCTCGGACCTCAACTTCCGCATCCATCTCATGTTGTTTCTTGAGGTGCTGGACGTAAGTCTGCTGGCGGTAGAACAAACGGGCGCACGGTAGGCCCTCTTTGGTAGCGTCCGGCAGTGTACAACGCCAGCTTTTCGAATGAAAATGCTGTGAGTTTTCATGTCTTTTCCAGTCCTCTTTGCTTCCAAAAGTCTTATTGCAGTGCGAGGAGGTACAACTGTATGGACGTTCATGACGCTTCTGGTGTTTTCTGGTATCGCAAAGTTAGCTGTCGGTCCACGTCCCTATTCACCGAGCCTTGAACATACTTCATCTCACAGCGCAATCGCGTCTTCTTGCTGCAGAATTCACACTGAATCCATTTTCTCTGATCGGGATACACGGCAGAACTCCCCTCCTGAGGTTGATGACTATGTGGATATGGCTCCGAGCTTTGGTTTAGCATGCCCAAGGCTGTCGTCAGAATTGTTTGCAAGATCTCCCGCTTCAGCTTGGCCAACTCGGCCTCCTGCTCCGCAGCACTTTCCGCGTCTTCAGAGTGCTGCCCTTGCCGTTGCTGCGCAATATTCATGGATTTAGTCATGGCAGTAATCAAGTTCATGGCTGCTTCAGCTACCATGTCATTCCTCTTGCCACCTCGAGAAATGTCCGACTGAGCCGCAAAAGTCGTTCGCGGACTGAGTGACCCATCAAAGCTGAGAGAATTTAGTGGTGGTAGTTCGACAGCCTGTGGACTTGGATGCGCAGGTTTAGGGGTGGCCCGGCTGAGACTTGGGCGGCTTTGCTCATCCCTGACTGAGTCGGGGGTTATCGTGTCCAGTTCCGCTCGAGCCCTGGAGTATGGGAGAGAAGGCGACACTTGAGATTCTTCAGATCTGTTTCGTGACTCGTCAATCATGTCCTGCATCTGTGGACTACTGGCTTCCGAAAGATGATCCATCAACGACGATGCCATCACTTGCGGCTTGAAACAATCTTCGTACCACTCTTGGGATCTTCACGGCGGGTTAGCATCGTCGGAGATCATGGGCCTCGACACATCGGCACGAGACTCACTTTCTCAGCAGCTCCTCAGCATCTTCATCATTGTGCATACGAGTAAGGTGCTGGCGGAAGTTATCTAAGCGAGGCCATCTTTTATTCTTGCGAGGACACTTGACTCCAAAGCACATATACACTACTTTGGGCCCACGTTCCGGCTCTTGCTTATGGACACATTTTTTATGACGTGCCAGGTCGTTGATGGTTCCGAAGCCATCCTTTCGAGTGCACCCTGGCTCATCGCATTTAAACAGCTTTCTATGTCGAGCTTCATGCTTGCTGGAGGCTGTTAGCTAGCCAGAAACGCGTGCATGGATTTAGTCAAAGGGTCTTACCGCTTATCAGACGGACATTTCCCAGTCCACTGGCAGTCAGAGTAGTCACACTTAATCGCGTCGGGACCCAGGAGAGATGGAGACTGCATCCGCTCCAATACATCGATTGGGTCGCCATAGGAAGCAGTGTTCAGGTCTAGAACTGATAACCGTTCATCCTGTTCTAGTTCGAACGGTGCGGAGTAGGGACTACAAGCTGAGTCGAGTGCGTAAGACGCGGCCACCGAGCGAGTGGTGCAACTTTGCGTGCTATACCCTGACTCCGATGGATGGAGACTAGCATATTGGCTGTCGGCCTCAGATGGCGTGCTGTAGTGGCCTGTAGAGAGTCTGCGATCGAGGCCAGACCATTGTTGACTTGCCCCCATCGGTGGGCACATGAGAGATCCGGCATGGGTTGGTAGACCGGTCACTTGAAGCGGCGTCCAAACATCTCGATCGGCTGGGAACCGGGCCAGTGGGTACTGCGAAGAGTCGAGGCTCTGAGCCAAGGGGGATGATGCCGGGTCATGATATGGGAAGTACCGGCCGAGAATTGATGTCAAATGGGGTGGAGGAACTGCGGAATCAGAGCCAAACTGGAACCCCATCAATGATGCTGAGCTATCGAGGCATATTGCTGGCGGAGTCAGCCCGTCGGATGAGGTATGTTTATGTGATGATGTTGGCGTTGCTCGTGAGCCATTGATGCCCCTAAGAATATCATTGGATTCTTCCCAGAGGGCATTGTGTCTGGAGGCCTATGGAGTGGTTCTTTAGTCTGGACATCCTTCTATAGCGCCATCTGTTTCAAGCAAGACAGGGCGAACGCAAGCATACCCGCATTGTGCTGACTCTGCAAGCCCGAGGCTCTGTCGGGGTCGGTCTGAGGTACAAAGGGAATGCGCAGCGCAGACGGTAGACCAAGCTACTAGGATAGATAGAAAGTGGGCGCTGATGGCGGCTGGGTCATGTAGACGGGAGAACAGGGTTTCTTCGCAACGAAGCTCGTGGGCTTCTTGTTAGGGACAAGTAGAGCAGCGCAAGAACATTTCCCGCCTATCTCCTTTATGTCTACTCTCAGCAGGAGTAATGCGTGAGCTTCGTGCTGGTTGCCGGTGCTTGAAACGAGGTGCAATCAGGGCAAGCCGGGGCCGAGTTTGGGGCATCAACAGAAGCTGAAGGAGAGTCGTTGCGTCTGAACAAGCGGCGCGGTGATCTGCCTGGGAAGGTTAGGACTTGCGCCAGGAGAAGAGAAGATTTGCAAAGTCCGAAGAAATTATCCTTGCCAGAAAGGAACTCGGGATGGTCAAACTAATAGAAATTGAGGGGTGCAAACGATAAGTAGAAAAACAAAAGCCAAGCGGGATAGGATGAGACTATGAGGAGATTATCGTAACCGGAATCACCACCACCCTTGGACTGGATAGTAGTCATGAAACAAATCTCTCAGCAGGGCCTAATGAGACCGGAAGGGATGCGGGATGGAGATGGAAGGCTGTGTGAGAGAAATGAAGAAAGTCAAAAAGAAAACCAAAAAGAAAGGGGAAGAGCAAAAAGAAAAGGAAAAAAAGAAAAAAAAAAAGCAATGAGGGAGATCCAGAGATTTTCAGTTCATCGCATCGTCAACCCCACGCGCGATAACGTGTTCAGAGTCTTGGAGGCGATGCCGCATGGGGTTGGCATGTCGTCTTCTTAGTAGTCGAGTCAAGTCAGTAAGCTGCAGGTCAAGCATCCAAATACTCTCTAAGCCTGTCAGACCTGTTGGCCTGCGCTGGTCCAGATCGTCGCTTGCGTACCGAATGAAATGAGTATTAATTCGTTGATTGAGAGACGGACTCTCTCCGTCGACCGGCATAAGACCTGTCAGAGACCATCTTCCCGATTGAGTACCAGGGCATGTTAGCTGAGTTGAGATGCATGATTGGCGAGAGGGTGCGAATGCGACGGACCTTTCCTCGCTGTTTCCCTCGCTCTTTCTGGCTCTTGGTTGGCGTGGTCTTCGGTTCTGGATTGCGTAGACAATGAGGTCGATAAATCCCGCTGTGGTGTTTTTTTTTTTTCTTTTCTTTTTCTTTTTTTCTAAACCTAAAAAATTGGTTGGAATTTAATTTTCTCATGTTTTTGCTTTTGCCCATGAGATCCGACAAAAGTACCAGATTATGCAAGTTCCTATACCTAGTAGGAATGACTAGTAAGTTAGCCATGAATAAGAGTCTCAATCACAAAGCCGAAATTCGGCGCCGTCGAGATGATCTCCAGACCTCACTCGAATTAGGTTAGCTCTCAGCTCCTGCAGGAATGATCGCCCAATAAACATTATTAGATGGCATATGGAGGGTCGGATTGGAAGGCAGCACCTGTTCACGCCTCGCCAGCTATTTTTCTTGCCTGGTTAATAGTGGTCGGTATACTCCGACAGGGAGGGTGACAAAAGCCATTGAGACTTTAAGCGAGGAAAGGAAGCATGCTATCTTGATATCAGCCCCGGCCGGATAGGTCGGCTTTCATGCCTCTGCCTCTCATCAGCAGGCTATGAAGCACAACAGGAATAGAGGCCGAAGTATGTAAGGGATCATCACGCGGATGGGACGCGGGGATGGGGGATGAGCGGGCCATGCCGACAGATGAACCATTCATTCTCTCATCCCCCGGCCGGCAATTGACCTGGATTGGGACTAGAGGTGGCTGTGCCTGTAAGGGAGAGGGAGACAAGACAAGAGTAAACGAGTTGGACTAGAGAGAGACTGAGAGAGAAAGACAGCCCTCGGTCTGACAGGCTCATCGCCCAAGCACTGCATTCTTCCACGCGACCCCGTAAGAAGACCGAATCCGGAGACAGGACGACTAGTTATCCTATGATCTCCATCTAAGCTGGGCGATCGCCAACCACTCGGCCCGGGCCTCTCTATCTCTAAGGACGAACTAGTTACTGCGTTCGTTAACTTAACCTTTCCAGCTCCTGGCTCGCGATCTGTACCATATCTTGTAGACTGACTGCGTGTGGTGTGGTGTGGGGAATAACTTCCTTTCGCAGTTTAGCCTGGCGGCTGCTGCTGCTGGCTCCTTGTAAATTCATATTATGATTTGAGATTCACAAACCAACAAGTAAACTTCTGGATAGACACATACCGCAGATGGCCGGGCCTTATCATAAGTGCACCCATCGCCGCTCTCGTAAGGCACATTCCATAGTCAACTCGGTACGGAGTACATGAGTCAACAACTTGACGACATCGGTCGGTGTTAGTGGCCTAAAATGTCAATTTCAGGCGAGTGTTCGGCGGCTGCTGTGCAACCTATGGTTGAATGGTTGTGATCAAATTCAATCTTGAACTGGACGAGCTGAAACTGGTCAGCAAGGTTACTTTACCTGAGAGGGGCCTGAGAGGGGCGCATCTGCCAAGCTTGATGGAGCAGTTCGGTGATTCAAGTTTCAACGCACTTACACATGCAAGTCCTTTTTTATTTATTTATATTTTTACCCCCTCTTCTCCCCCTCTGGTCCAGCCCGACGTTGACAGGCCGGTGGGACAGCCCGTTCTTGCTCTGGGGGGAACAGGGAGTTTACGGAGGTGAAGGTAGTTTACCTACTTAGGTAGTTAGTAACTTGGTGTATTCCGTAGTAAATCCACAGTACTAGACGATAGATAGTAACTAACTGCACTCTGTAGATCTCCCTCTCTTTCCTCCACTCCCTCCAGCCATCCTTTCTCTCCTCTCCTCTCCTCTCCTCCACACCCAATGCCCTCTCCCTGCCCCCTGCCCTCCATCCCTTCCCCCTTGTCTTCGAGCCGAGAAGCCCGCTGCAGTGTGCCGTGAAGTCGGCTTGCGACGTACATCCCCTTCTCCCCGTCCTTAAAAAATATCCGTCCAATCAAAGCAATGTGACCAATTGACAATTTAGGGCCGTACATGCAGCTCACATACCAGATGCCAAGCGCCCCTGTTTGATTGAGACTGCCACTGCCAGATAAGTAGGTGTACCCGTGGTCCTGCCCATAACTACCAATAAATGGCGCGTCACATAGCCATTGTTGACATTTTACGTTTATGGTTGCTGTCGGGTTGACCCACAACTCAGCAACGAAGGAAGGAAGGGGGAATTCCTTTGTATTTGGTGTGTCTCAGACTTTCCTGACTCACTGGTCGACAAGATGAGATCCAGGTGTTCTGCATCATGTCACGTCACGTCATGACTGCAATGCTTCATACAAGCTATCTTGATCAAGGGATTAACATTCGAGATAAAACAAGAACGGTACAGTACAAACAGCCAGCCAACATGACGACCAGAACGTGGGGGTATCTCAACGGTTTCCACCGACCAAAGGACCACAAAATTCAAAGCAGAAATGTTTGTTATGCTCACCATGGACAACAGTGCTGCGGGCTCCAGTCTCTTCGCTCACTATCTCTCATCTCCAAGTGGATTGGTAGAGAGAAGCTTATGTGAATCGATGCAAGACTCTTGAGGTATCTATTCGCTCCCCATCAATCAGCCTTGCTCGCCGTAAACTCCAGCGACAAAAGGAATAGTCTGAGCCATGGATTTGGGGAAGCCATGACGATCCTCCGCAGACGCTGAAAGGTTCATTAGGTTCTGCGCACTGAAGGCGGGTTGCATTTCCGTGGGCGACATAGTTATTTCGTACGAATCTTGCAGCACATTCATTTCAGGATTGACCACCCGAACCCGAGGGCCAGCGTTGAATGGGGGTGGATACGTAACCGAGTTCTGGTGCGTGGCCACGAACCGCAACTGATCTGCAGACTCCCCTGGCAGGCTCGAAAGGTAACCTGAGGTCGAAATGTCATGATACGCGTCCATCGTCTCAGGCTCCGTAGAAAAGCCGCCCGACATGGTGGTCGGGTGGGCAAAGCATGTAGGAGTCAAAGCCACCATGGGCTCTCCAGAGCTCTGCCGATCGGCATTATTGCTCAAATGTGGTGCCTGTGTGAGGCTCAAAGTCCCGTCTGAGCAAGTAGTATTCATACCAGTGGACTGCGGGAGGGAGCAGGCTGGCTCGTTCGTAATCGGCATCGAGCCGGGCCCATGAGGATTTGGCACGCTGTTGGCACTGGCACTACCATTCGGTGACATCTCCCGTTCGTTTACAAGCCCCAGGATAGGCATCGCAATTTGCTCCATGTGTTTAGCCAAGTGCACCGTAAGCTTTTTCCAGCTGCTACAGACATTCCCACAGAACCGGCATGGTTCATCTTTGGGGCCTCTGGGGGTATCATGTCGACACCTTTCCACAAGTTCCCAAAGCTGCTCGACCCCTTGTTCGCGACGGCCGTGCTCTTGTGTGTCCATTATAATGCTTACCGAGTCATTCCCCTTATTACCGGGTCCTGGGTTCTTTGCTTTTTTCATCTTCGGCTCCGGCATCTTGTGCTCTCGAACGAGATGCTGCACAAAATTATCTTTCCGATAGCACGTATGATGACAATCCGGAAATGTACACGTCCACCACTCTAACTTGCGATGTCGCTCGCTCTCGTGTCGAACCCAATCCGCCTTTCGTTTGAAAGACTTCGGCTCGGTGCAATGGGGAAAGGTACAGGTGAATGGCTGGACATCTTCGTGGACATGCTTGGTCCAATCAGATGGTTTCTGGAACTTTTTCACCTGAAAGCAAATTGGACACTCGAATTCGGCTGGCAACCGTTGAACTGGCGGCAAAGGCACGCCTGAAGGGAACTGTGCGGCAGTCACTATGCTTTCTCCCACTCTCTGAGCATTGTCACCAGCCTCATTACAACTTGAATTATCGAACGGCGTGTGTGATGTGTCTGGGACGTGGAGGTTACCACGAGGTGCTAGAAGCTTGGCTTCACCACCCTGTGCAAAGCAGAATAATAAGCCGGATGTGCATTTCCGTGCCTCCAGGTCTCGAAGATGTTTTTGCTTGCTGTCAACCAACTTGCGGTATCGGCGAAGCTGTTCCTGAGCGAAGCGTTCGACTAACTCCGAAGGTAGCCGGGGATTCAACTCGGTAACCTGGGACCTGAAGCCATCAAGCGTTGGTACTGGTAGGCGTGACTGTACCGGAAACTGCATCACTAAACCCTTTTCAGCTGGCAAGTCATCATCTTCGTCGTCAGCGTCGCCAGTGGCATGACCCACTTGAGGTGCCCCTTGCAGGCGGACACCGCGGTCGATCACTCGAGGGGAATATGCGAGGTTAGGAACAGGGGGCCCGCCATGACTCGTCATCAAATCCAGCAATCCGGGTGATGACGCTCTTGGCAGCTCGCTTTTGCTTCGCCCACGTCCTTTGGTAACTGGCCATGGGCTCAGCGTCGAACTTGGTGAGGCAGCGCGCAGCGAATCCTTGCCTCCAATGGCAGCCATCTGGCCGGCAATCGCAATAACAGCACTGCTGGTGCTGAGGCTGGGCGACCTAGACCGACCAAGACTTAATTTACGGTTGGGAAAACTGTCTTTTCTCATAGAAGGGTTTGTCAATCCATCGACCTTGCCAGCAGTATCGGCGCTCGGAGGAATGATGGATAAATCCGATAGTCGTCTCTTGAGGTGGTGGGAGGGGTTGCGCGGTAGATACTTGCGGAGGCTGCTTCTTCTTTCATGCTTCCTACCCTTATCATCACTGATAGTTAGATTCTCGAAGGAACTGCCGGTGCCTATGATGCTGTTAACCTCGGCATCTTTTAAGTATCGCGTGCCCCATGTGGCCGCACGAGATGCACTGTCAAGGTCTCTTGCTCGTCGTTGATACTCCATCATCGCTGCGCTGGAGCTTAACGGCTGCACCCTAGTTGGGCGAGGGGCTGAGTCATATTCAATGTCCTGCCATGGCGGCGCCTTCAAGAACTGATGAGGCGATGGGTCATTGTCCTCCAGTCTGTTCCGCTCGGTGCTAGGGACACCCTCTAGGCCTTCCCCGGTCCACTCGCTCTCATTTGCATCGGCTGCAGGCGAGTCAGATCGTCTTTCGTCACCAGATCGGTACTCACTAGGCTCCTCATCACTGCTTTCGTGAAGGAGAAGACCAGGTCCAGGAACAACCGGCTCTAGGGACTGGGATTTCAGGTTGAAGTAGTCCTGCTGAAGAGAAGGATCGCCGGCACTTTTTGCCCTGCGCCGAGCGCCAACATGCCGCTTCCGACCGCGGCCTAGGAGAATTTCCTCCTCTGCATCGCTATTGGCAGCACTGACCGAAGCCGACCATGACTGGATATCAGCATTCTTCTCTTCCAGTCGTCTCCAGGCATCCAAATCGTTTGGACTGGATATGTAAACATCCGCTCGAGATAACGGTTCGACACCAGCCTGGCCCGTGGCAGTGTTCGAAACCCAGGAGCCATTGTGTGTCCGAGATATGGGTGTATGGCCCGGGCTGAGGCCTTCGTTGCTATCCTCAAACTCTTCCGGCTCCGAGTCCGTGGTCAATCCGTTAGGTGCCAAATGCGTGGACGACAAGCCCCGCCATCGCTCAGTCGGAGAAGCATCCCTGACTGGTGAGTCTCCTCGGGAATAACTCTCGATCTTGACAATGGGGCTTCGTGCTCGGGCTGAGTCAGGTCCCACTTGTACACTCAAATTGTCACTTGGTGCGTTGATGTTCAGCGAAAGAGGCTGTGGAATCCGCATCTCAACTTGAACGCCGGCTGTTTCCGAAATGTCTGAGCTTCTCGTCGCCATTGCTTGTGACGGCTCTGCCGCGCTTTGCGGAGCCGCAGCATGTACCACAGATCCATGGCTTGGTATACTCCGTGACACTCCATTATCATGTTGCCAGACACCAAGGCCCATGTTCCCGTCCACAGTCAGATTGCTAGACAGGATATCTACGCTGGGGGATGTGTGCGCACTCAAATCGCTGGAAAAATCGTCTGTTGGGCTAAGAAAGTCCGAGTAAGATGCCTCCGGGCCCTCGTTGATAATCTCAGGATCTTCAGTATAAGGCTGTACCAGCAGAGGCGAGGCAGAAAGTGTGGTGCCATGATCGTTCTCGTTAACCGGCGTCAGCCTTATAGCGGACGACTTGAAGGAGGCTTCATCAGGGTCCACAGGAGCCGAGAGATAGGGATCGGAGAAATTGACATCGTGAAAACTCATTTCAGTGGGCGAGTCATTCTGAACAAGCTGGGGTGATAACGTAGACATGTTGGCGGTTATGATCGTGTTTAATCAAGAAGGCTTGACCCGCTGGCACGGGTGCTGATATGCGTTTTCGAGCCTTCTTGGAGATGGACAGACAAGACTTTTTGAAGGAGTATTGAAGCTGACTGAGTAGCGGTGTCCCTGCTCTTCCGAAGCTAGCATGAAATTCGGGAAACCGTACTGGACCGTAGATACAGAGAGTCGGGTCGTATTATCTTCAATGGCATGTCTATAGAACCATGACCCGGACGGTGAAAATGCTATAATGGGGTTAAGGAACTCGTCGCAGGACAGTCTCCGTCCAGAAAATGACACGAGAAAATCCCTGGAAAGGACCGAATCTAGCTGAGAGAAAATCAGCTTACGCTGGTTGCTATCCGTGTGGGGATGAGTAGCGAGCTAGCAGCAGGAAGTAGGAAGGCGTCAGGAACGCGGCCAGGAATCAGGATTCAATGGGCCAGCGATCATAATGAAATGGCGTGCGATCGGAGATCTGGAGCTCACCAAAGAACAAAGAAGACCAAAGGGCAGATGGAAGAATATTACAATTAGGAGGAAGTTAAGCGTGTAGGTAGATGTCTCAGAAATATAAAATGAAGACTCCGTAGGATGCTTCAAAAGACTTGAATGTAGAAAGAGACAAGGGGGGGGGGGGAGAGAAGAAGAGGGAAGAAAGATAATAATGTATGGCGCTAATCAGGCCGAGTGACAAGCGGCTCTTTGCGAGGCGGGCGGACGAGCCACCAAGAAAAGAACCTCGAAAGAAACCTCAACAGAAGAAAAACAGCTCCTGAAGATTGGGGGACGAGAGAAGGCGCAGTACCGAGGAGACTGAGCAGAGTGAACAAAATGCCGTCAAGGCTAACGGGGGTGGATGGGATAAGTAAACATGATAAAGAGAAAAGAAAGTTGATGTCACAGTAGGATCCATACAGCGTGGGAGATCAGAAGGAAAAAGTGCCTTGCACTTTAACTGAGCCACAATTCACTTCATGGTGGAACACGTAAGGAAAGGGGGATTTTGTACGGTAAGCCTCAAGGAGATAGTCAAGATAGCCAAGACAGTTGGTTAAGTCGAGTACTACTCATGTAATTAACAAACTACCTAGTGCTATTGGGGCCAGTCAGCGAAAAGCAAATGAGCGGGGATATTTATATAAGATTATTCATTTAGTCAAATCCCAACTAGTCACTATCCACCATTCAAACAGCCCGGATTCATTGTTGGCCTGCTCCATTTTGCGTCCTACTTCTTCTCTTCTCCAAATAGTAGGTAGGTGTTTTGTGAAAACCAATCTTCGAGGTGAACCGTGGTTAGAACGTGGGGGGAAGAGGGAAATTCCAGGGCTTGTCTTCGGCCCCACTTGAAGAGGGTCCGTGGATTCTTCAGTCATCACGAGTTTTTATTCATACGGACAGTATTTCAGAACTATAGTAAGTACGTACATAGTCAATCAGATAGCATTAACTGAAAATTGAAAAGTACTGAAAGTCCACTTGAGCCATAGTTCCAGTACATACTGTACAGTCTCTGACAGTTACTATCTTTGACTCTTCCACACCACCACCACCATCATCATTCTGATCGTAGTGGACTCGAACCGACTCAGCCTCCTTCCAAGCCCCATTCCTCAGCCCTGTCAATCTCCCCCCCCCCCCCCCCCCCCCCCAACAAGAGGGGCGCTACGCACCAGACCACATCAGTTAGTACTTAGTAGTATTTTGCTTTAGTCTTGCCTTGCCTAATATGATCCGTTCCATCTAATAACCAATTCACTGGGCTAATTTCACTCATATTCACGGCAGCGCCCGAACTCGTGGATTCAACTGACATCATGTCTGTGGCTGTGCTTACAATATATAATGTTGACTGGCAGAATCTCAGGTGTTTTCACAGTTACCCACCCACTCTCACGATTCCATTCCTCGAACCGTAGGTATAGAAAAATACATAGAAAATCCATCCGCAGATCTTTGCCAGCCATCTCACATACAGAGTAAGAGTAGCCAAAACAATCTAAAGGTACACAGGACACAGGTGGACGGGTGGAAGTCTTTCGAAGACCCACCAGGGCAATGGATAGTACATATCGTATCACATCGACTGACAATCGCTTAACTCGCTCAATTCCAACAAGGAACAACCACAACAACACGGAATGCCAACAGCAGTGAACACAGAACGATTACAAAGACAGGGAAACGAACAAAAGCTTGCGCCTCAAAGCGTGGAAAAGAAAGAGAGAATACATTGATAAGAAATGAGGTCAACATAGAGTGAAAACATCCCCAGCACACAGATCCTTATCGAGGAACATCGTGTTAAGAGATACTGAAGGTAAAGGAAACCTAGATCCCGTCAAACGAATGTAAGCGGAAGCTCAAAACTTCCGTAAGCTGCAGCACCATGCATAAATAACAAGCACAAGTATGCGGTGTAAAATGATAGAAAAGAAAACCCATGGAGTAGAATAGTAAGTAAAAAACAAGTCCAAGGGCGTCAATAATCGAACACATATATTAGTTGTAATTCACGTCCCATCTGATGGCTTCACTATAATCTGCGTGTTCATGCCGTAATGTCCACGGGTGCGCCGTTGATTTCTTCCCTGTTTCTCTTGCTCTTTTTGGATGAAGGGACATCCCCTTCACGATGGATCGATTCCCGCGAGCCACGGCGGGAAGATTCATCCCCACTAGCCAAAGCGTCCGTGGACTTCTTTGCTAGCTCCTGCAGCCGGGCCATGACCACGGGAGAATCGGAGTAAAGGACACAACCCTGCGAGTAGGTGCAAGGGTGGGACTTCTCCTCCTCTCCGATAAAGTCCTCGTGAGCTGCTTCGCGGGTGATTCGGGGAAAGGTTCTGAGGATGACATGACGTGTCGGGTCCTCCTTGGAGCTAAGAGTACCTTCCTTGGGGGTCCCATACTCCTCCCAATCGTCGTTTGGAATGATATCGGCGTCCGGCGCTGGCAGTGAAGCCAGGATGAGCTCTCGCTCAACCCGAGCCAGGCGCCAGGTTTCGGCTGCCAACTTAACGATCTTCCTTACGCCAACTAGAAGCGCGTCCAAGTTCCGGGGGTCTGCAAAGTGCTTAAGCTGATCAATGATCTCATCAACAATGACCGCAGCAACCACATTGATTGATTGCTTGGCATCCGATGTAGTGTAGGCTGCCTTCAATGTTTGTTGTCTCCAGAACGCTTCGCGTCGTACGGACTTGCGTCGGATGTCCATCGAAAGCATCTGGAAGAAAGTGTCCGCCTTATCGTACCGCCGGCCAAGGGTAAAGAGGAAAGGGTGGAAGATCCGATAAGTCAGTGTCTTAGACACGACATGTTGAACATAAGCGGAGCGCAATTCACGCGAGGCCGGAGTGTTATCAAGAAACGATGGCAGCTCAGGCGGAAGCTTGGAGAGGATATCCTTGGGAGGATCAATTGGGAGGTACGAGAAGTGCTCCTTAGACAGGGAGACAATAAGACGAGAGAGTTGGCCGAAGCAGTCCAAACTAGAAGTCGGAATATTTATCAGAGCACGTACATTTATAGCGTTATCAACATGTCATCATCATCATAATCAGTCTATAGAGAAACAGACAACATAGGAAAGGAGAAAACAAATGATTGTGAGTCGATCTGGTTCATGCAAGGAGGAAAGGAAAGCGAACGAGAGATTCAGACGTATCAAGTCAAATGCAAGTATCGTGAGAGAAGGGAGTTTGAGTCCCCATAAGAAATGAGAGATAAACACAGGAAAACACATTCTCTGAACGAAAGCCGGGTACTAAAACATATTCTCAATGCACTAGGTCACTTACAAGAAAGAATCACCCTTTGTGCTCTTGAGGTCAGTGGCTTCTCCAAGGCTGTGAAGGGTCTTTCTCAACCTATCGCAATCTTTGTCCAAGTTGTCGATTGTGAGGCGCATATTCTCCACCGAGTGTTGAAGCTGCTTCTCCTTGACAGCAACATCCTCCTCTAGTCTCTTGTTCTCACGCTCAAGGTTCTCGATGGTCTCGGTCTTCTCTGCGACTTGCTGCTCGAGAGAAGACTTCTCGTCCGCCCATTGCTGCTGCTGATCGGCAAAGTCCTTCTTCATCTCAGCCACTTCTTCTGCATGACTGTTGTTAAGAGACTCGACTTCGCTAGCGTGCGCTTGTTGGGCTGCATCCAGCTCTTGAGCATGTCTTTCACAAGTGTTCTCCAATTCCTTCTTTTTATCGGCGAGCTCGGTAGTCCTAGTCTCTAGTTCCTCCTTGGTGGAGGTCAGCTCAGTCACCTTCGAGTCGAAGTCGGCCTGCAGGACGTCATGTGCTTCCTGCATCTGCTGCTTCTGGTTTTCGTAGTCATTCTTCATCGCCTCTTGCTGGTCAAGCAATTCCCGCTCGCGTACTGCCAGGGCTTCTGCTGCTGCTTTCTCATCCTCTGCCTTAATCTCTTCGAAAAGCTCGGTCAATTCTTGCTTCTGGGTTGTAAGAGCTTCCGCCTTCTCCTCTTTGGCTTTGTCCATGTCTCGCTCATAGGTCTCGTATGCCTCTTTCAGGCTGCTGTCGAGCGACTCAACCTTGTCCTCAAGTTCGGCTTTGGATTGGGTGAGCTCTTTGTTGGAGTTTTCAAACTCAAGCAATTTCTCTTCGAGATCCTTCTGCTTCTCGTCGAGGTTGCCCAGCTCCATCCGCAGCTCGTTGATCGTGTTCTTGAGCCTGGTGGATTCCTCAGCACTCTCATTCGCAGTTTTCCGCATCTGATTCTGGAGTGCCTCGATATAGAAATCCTTGTGCATCAAAGCCTGCTCATGCTGAGTCTCCATTTGTTTGAACTCAGCTTCCCTTGCCTGGAGCTTGCCCTTGGTGTTTTTGTAGCTCGAGAGCAGTCGGCCGATGTCAGGAATAGCGTCCTGAATCCTTTGAAGGAGCTCGATAGGCTCCTCATGTTCGGGAGGAGAGATTGTGCCTCCCTTCCCATTGAGGCCATGTCCATTGGCAAAGCCCAAGTCGCGC